GGGGGGGGAGTCAGTATATTAAGTCCAAATATCTGTATTTACTTAACATTTCTATGAAAACACCAACTTTTCTTCTCTCTCTCTCTCTCCCCGCCCTCCACTTACCTTAGAAAAATATTGTTTATCTGTTTTCGGATAAATGCTCTAAGACCAAGAAACTTGCCGTAAATTCTGTGTAAGACTGTTTTTAAGTAGTCCCGTTCCCGAGGGTCTTCGCTGTCAAATAATTCCAAAAGCTGTTGTAAATAAAAGATAGTATCACTGTCAAAGGTGCTTTCAGGAAAGGATTCTGTCACTCATTCAAAATCCTTCCCGCACTTCCTTCTTCAATACTCATTCTGTGTCTGTTACATATCAGGCACAATTTTAGTCTCTGGAAATACAAAGAAGTCAGACAATGCCGTCCGTCAAGGGAGTTGTATTCTGATGAATACAACAATAATAATAGTTAATACAGAGCGAGAATTTACTATGATGGTTGGGCACTAGTGAAAGCAACTTACATTAATTCTCTCTCTGAATGAGCTAGTTTTAATCCTGATTTACAGATACAGAAACAGGCACAGAGAGGCTATGTAACTTGCCCAGGGTCTCACAGTTCATAAATGGCTGAGCTGGGATTTAGACCTAGGCAGTCTAGGCTCTGGAGTCCATGATCTCAACCATGGGAGTAGGTCACGTTTCTGAGCTGACATTTCAAACATACAGTTAAGTTTAACCTTTGATTCTATGAAAGTACACGGGGAGAGGAAGCAACTGAAACCAAACCAAACAAACATCAAGAAGTCTCCTATGATACAGGCAATGGTCTGTCTCTGGATCTGAGGTCCTGTTACATAGCTGTGCTCACTTTGTAAATACTCACTCTGTAAATGATCATCAGTAAATACTGACATTATATATTATAGCTGAATAACTTTTTTTTTCTAAGTTACCAGTCATTTGCAATCAAAGTCAAATAAGAAGACCCAATCATTTCACATCAATGTATTTCAAAAGGAGCCCATGCAACCCACCCAAAACAGATAACAAACCACTCTCAAGTCAAATGACATTAAACACTACAGAGTCAATGTCATTGCTATCAGAATCCCAGCTGCCTTATTTTGTTGTTTCTGGCAGAAAGTGACAAACTGATTCCAAAATTCACATAGAAATACTAGGGACCCACAACAGCCAAGACACTCTTGAAATAGACTAACTTCCTGATTTGAAAACTTTCTATAGCTGGCATGTTGTTGTTGTTGCTAAATGCCCTTGAGATGATTCAGACTCATAGCGACCCTGTACGGGGTTTCCAAGGAGTGGCTGCTGAGTTTGAACGGCCGACCTTGAGATAGCAATCCAGTGCTTATATACTACGCCACACCAGATCTAAAATAGATATATAGATCAATGTACAGAATTCAGAGTCAAAAAACAAAAAAACTGTCACATGTATTGCCTACTGATTTTTCATATGAGTGCCAAGACAATCCAATGCAGGAAAGAATAGTCTTCTTAAACGAATCTCCACATGCAAAAGATTGAAGGTGGAGTCTTAATTCATATCATGTATAAAAATGAACTAAAAACGATCACTAGATTAAAAATGTAAGAGCAAAAATTAGCATAAATAACAACAAAAAAAGATAAGCTGGGTTGTGTAAAAAATTTTAAACTTTTAGTTTTTAAAAATGCCTCAAAGAGCACCATCAGTTAGACAAAAAGACATCAAACAGAATGGGAAAACAATATTTGCAATTGTATATAGCTCATAAGGAACTTGTATCAAGAACATACAAAGAACTCTTATAACTGAATAATAAAACCACAAACCCATTTAAAAATGGATAAAGGAGTTGAATGGTCTCCAAAGGAAATATGCAAACGAACAGTAAGAACATGAAAAGGTGGGCAACAGCATTAATCATTAGGGAAATATACATCAAAATAGATACCACCTCACATCCACTAGAAGAGATTTATCAAAAAGTATAGTAACAAAGGCAGGGATGTGGGAAAATTAGAAGAACACTTACACAGTGTAACATGGGGCAGCTACTTTGAAAAACAGACTGGCAGAGTTCCTCCAAAGTTACACGGAGAGTTATTAATTAATTGTTATTAAGTGCCATTGAGTCTGTTCCAACTCACAGCAATTCTGTATAGGATTTCTGAGAAGTGGCTAGTGGGTTTGAACCGCCAACCTTGCAGTGAGCAGTTCAGACTTTATCCTATAGTGTCATACCAGGGCTCCAAGAGTTACCACCTGACTCTGCAATTCCACTCCTAGGAGGAATTTCCATTTCCAAGAGAATCACAACCATGTCTACACAAGTATTTGTGAGTTGTTGTTAAGTGCTGTTGAGCTGGTTCCTACTCACAAAGTTTCAGAGAAGAGGCTGGTGAGTTTGCACCGCCGATCTTGCAGTTCAAATCAACATTGTGGTCCAGTGCTTACCGGAACTCACATTTGTATGGTGGTGGTGGTAGTGGTAGTGGTGGTGGTAATGTGCCATGGAGTCGATTCCGACTCACAGAGACCCTGTATAGGGTTTCCCGAGGCTGTAAATCTTTAGGGGAGCAGAAAACCTCATCTTTCTCCCACGGAACAGCTGGCAGTTTCGAACTGCTGATCTTGAGGTTAGCAGCCCAACTCATAAACTATTTGTATAGAAATGTTCAATTAGTAGCATTATTGATAATAGCCAAAAAGTTGGAACCACCCAATGTCCATCAATTGATAAGTGGGTAAAAAAATTGTATTATTTTCCAAAGAAAATATGTAATATTATTTGGTCATGAAAAGGAATGAAATACTGACATATGCAATAACATGAATGAACCTTTCAAACATTTTAAGGGAAAGAAGCCATACACAAAAGCTCAGAGGCTATGACTCCATTTATATTAAATGTCCAGGATTCAAAGGTCTGGAATAGAGAATGCCATATAGAAAGAAGTCCAACAGGCAGGGACTGCTAATGACTCTGTGGATTTCTTTGGCGTTGGTGAAAGTGTTCTGCAATTATAAAGTGGTGATGATTGTACAACTGTGTGAATATATTATATAAAGCACCGAACTGTAAACTTTAATAAGGTAAGGTTTTTGGAATTTGAATGTTGTTGTTGATAAGTGCTGTCGAGTCGGTTCTGACCCATAGCGACTCTGTACAGGGTTTCCGAGGCTGTAAATCTTTACGGGAGCAGAAAGCCTCATCTTTCTCCCGCGGAGCAGCTGGTAGTTTCGAACCACTGACCTTAAGGTTCACAGCCCGATTTGTAACCACTACGCTACCAGAGCTCCATATATATATATATATATATACGTATGTATGTAGCGTAGTGGTTACAAATCGGGCTGCAAGCCGCAAGGTCAGCAGTTCGAAACTACCAGCCGCTCCGCGTGAGAAAGATGAGGCTTTCTACTCCCGTAAAGATTTATACCCTCGGAAACCCTGCACAGGGTCGCTGAGTCAGAACCGACTCCACGGCACATAACAACAACAACATAGTTGTTCAGTGCCTTCGAGACAGTTCCAAACTCATAGCAATCCTCTGTAGGGTTTCTGAGGAGCAGCTGGTGGGTTTGAATTGCCAATCCTGTGGTTCCCAGTCTGCTACTGACCCTACATCACCATACCAGGAGTGTCTCTCTCTCTCTCTCTACATATAAACAAATTGTTCATATTCAAGGATATGACACCAAACCCTTGAAAGCTGGGTAGTAATAGGAGTTCTTTTTCTAGTTGTGATTGGCATTGGTTCATCCACTCCTGCTTGATCCCCTTGCTGACCCAATCCACATCTGTAAGATTCACTGACAACCTGGTGATGGTAGCTACTAGTGGCTGTGGAACACTGTACCGCTAGGCAGACAAAATGGCGGCCCCCGCTTATCAAGTAAAAAAAGTACTGTTGGGCAATGTGAAGACTGAGCCATGACAGACTTGGTATTTCCTAGACCAGATATAAACAGTATGACCTGCTGCCAAATTTTGCAACTTCACTTCCATTCTGAAACAAATATAGTCCCATCATCACAGAAACAAGCATTGCGGAACAATTAAGACCTATGTTAAATAAATGTGTTTGATATTTCCAAAACATTTATGAGAAAATGTACTTGTGAAATTTCTGCCCTGTGTCCACTGAAAGGAAAACGGAAGTGAGCTATGTTCTGTTGTGGACACTGACCTTCCTTAAATGTGATGGAAGTAATGGAGAAGGGCAGCTACAGGCACTCACTAGACACTTTTGAGTTCCTCAAGAGTCCTGTTGAATACTGGGACTTAATTTCTTACTAGCTCTTCATTTTTACAAGTCTTAACAATAAAATTTAGCAAATTTGAAAAAGGAGAAATAAGTGAAGTCTCACATGGACAACATTCTACTTACAGCTGCCAGGACCCTCACCAAAAGACCTGCACTTTAGCCCTCCCAAGCTCACAGGAGGACCTGATGAACCTGACTGATGCTTCTTATAGGTTTGAGCCCATCCCATCTATGTGCCAATGTCCCGTTAAGTCTCCGTTCAAAAACCATCTCCATATTAGTATCGAAAGCCTACACTCTCAGCTTCAGAGTGTGCTCCAAACATCCCTGCTGTATTCACAGACAGGTCAGGGAGCTCCTCAAGTGAAAAGATATTGTAATAAAACAGCACGTAAAACCCTGCTCCATAAATGATCTGTTTACTTGTGGGTCTTCTTAACCAGTCAGTGAACTCCTCAAGGGTAGGGAATTTTATCTTTTCACATTCTGTCTCCATTCAGTAAGCACCAAGCACAGTATCTGGCATATAGCAAGCACTCAAAACATTTTATTAAACAAAAGAGACGATGGGAAAGAAAAAGGCCCAAGGAAAGGAGAGAGGAAGGGAGGGAACCGTGAAAACTTACGGATTCCAATGTTCTTTCGAAATCCTATAAAGACTGGAAAACATGATGGGGAGGATGACGTTAGAGTTTTCTTCTATCAAACTCATGATATATTCATTATTCCAATAATAGAGTGCCCTTTCTGCCACCTTTGGAAAAAGAAAGAAAGATAAAAAAAATTATAACCTTTACAACTAAAAGAGATATTTTAATCATTCAATCAAATGCATAATTAATTAAGCACATTTTATATCTTGGTGTTTTTTAAATCTTTCAATAAGTTCCAAATGGTTCATCAATTTGGAAAGTGAGAGGTAAGCTTTCCTACTTACTTACTTCTATTCTTTTCCAGCAGTACCCATCTCACTGGCTTCCCCAATTCCCCTGCATAGCTCCCATAGCTTCATTCCACTTACAGTCCCTCATTTTAGCGATTTTAGCAGTCACAGATCACCTCTTTCACTTCACATGCACTGCATGGCCGGCTGGCAGTACACAGCTGCAGAAGGAAAGCTCGCTACCCACCCCTGCCCAGCATCTGCCTTGTCAGTTATCTCTTTGGGGCCAGGCAATGTGCTAATACCACAGGTAAACTGCACCATGCTGACCACCGTCCTTAGGAGGAGGCATTTATGTTCATTTTACAGGTGAGAACAGAAAGATGAAGCAATTTGTCCAAGGTCCCACTGCTGATAAATGAGAAAAGCTGCTGATGGGAACCTAGGGCTCAAACTCTGCCTGGTAATTATTTCCGATCCCTTCCTTTGAACTCGAAAAGCTAGAGAAAAGCCCCTCAGTTTCTAGAATTGGGGACACTCAATGAACATAAACCTGCTTGCATTCTAACATCCCTTTTCTCTGCATACCACTTCACCAACTGACGTTAGTAGTCTGCTGGGCCTGAGCTGCTCATCTTGGGTCTGAAGAATTTATAGGAATGCCTCAGAAGTAAAACTTCAGATGTCTAAAAAGTGTAGTGATGTGGGGAATAAACAATAATTTCCTTCATTCCTACAATTAAGTGCTGTTTTTGAGAAGGAATAAAATGATATAAAATGTATCCACCAAGTAATAAAATGTATCCATTTACATTATTCAACTGAGTTAAACAAAACCATAGGACTCATCAGGCACTAATTTCAAGAATACAACAAAAACAATGAATCCTGATTGCATGTTTACCATGTGCCAGAAACTGTGTCAACGTATGTGATATCTCATTAAATTCTCGCAACCAGCACACATAGTAGGTAGCACAATTTGTATTTTGCAAATGACTAAGGTGAGGCTCAGAAAAGTTAACCCACTGGGTTCACAGCCACACTATTTGCTGAATGAAATCAATGACACTTGAACAAGTGAACAAGCAAGTCGTCAACGTTTACCTCTGTCAAATAACAGCCCCTTACCCCTTTCTGGTAGCGTAGTGGTTATGAATCGGGCTGTGAACCTTAAGGTCAGCAGTTCGAAACTACCAGCTGCTCTGCGGGAGAAAGATGAGGCGTTCTGCTCCCGTAAAGATTTACAGCCTCG